CAATGAATATTCCTTTGCGGTTAATGATCTAAATTTGTTATAATTGTAGGGAATACTGGGCTGTTTAATGAAAGTCACGTCATAACTTCTAACTAATAATACGAATCGAATAGACTGGAGAAACACTTGACATTAAGGTGAAACCTTAGTAAGTTCAGTTCAAAAAACTCTAAAACGACCTCTGAATTAATATAGCGTGTGCGATTGAAGGTTGTTGAACTGAGAATATTTATAATATTTCAAATTCAGTAGCTGAAATGAAGACAAAGCAAGTAATCTTTTGGACGTGCTTGATGATGTTATTCATATCGTTGGCCGTTAATAGAAGTGCTGGTAAGTTTGCAACATTCGTGATGTGTAGCCGTGTTACATGTTTCAAAAGCAGGTTGTCCTGCATATTGTAGGCCACTTATATCCTGAAAACTGCATATTGTAGGCCACTCGACATAAAAATATTGCCAATTATATTATCAATTTTAACCAGTCTTTTAAACCGAAATATTTTATTACATTTTTTTATTAATGTTAACTGATGCTACCTGATGCACTTTTAAAATACAAATATATAGAATACATATCTTTGATCCTTTGGTTGTTATATTCCATCATTCAAATAGACCGTGTAGATTAATCGATGAATCAAATCCAAAACACAACGAAATTAAATCACCGTGTCCTAAGGTACCCTAGTTTCAGAAAACTACTTACTACTACGTATTTAAGTTCTAATCACACCACGGGAAAATATATTTTAATTTTTATGAATACGATTTAATTTAAAGTTTGATGTTCATATCAGATTAACTATAGCTTTAACTCACGCCTGACGAATGTTTACGCTTGATCAGTAGACTGCAGTAAATTGCTAGAAAATTCTAGAATTCTGTAAAACGTCTATATGCATTTCTCTTTCTGTGACCACAGGACAAAGTCCGACATCAAATATATCATCACGAGCAGCAGCAGATCAAACAACAACAACATCAACAACAACAATAGGACCAACAACCTCAGCAATATTAGGATCACCGCCAACAACATCAACAACAACAATAGGACCAACAACCTCA